AGCTGTTGTAGCCATTTTCATTTTTTTTGTCTAATTTTTTTTTTTTGAGTATCATAGGGTCTTGAGTAGGCTTCGTATATTGGCGAATTGTCTAGTTTGCTTGTAATAGGATTACTGGGTAGGAAGTGAAATCAATGCAACGTTCGTAACACGATTTGATAAGGTATTTTTCATGATGAATCAGCATTAAAACCTTAAGTTCGTGACATCCCAAACAACACAAAAAGGGGAAACAAAGCAGAAATGAAGCGGACGAAAGGGGAAATAAAGGGGAAATGTCTCTTTTTCGCCTTTACATCGGTTATTTAGGGGAAATATCGCTTTTTCCCTCTTACGTCGTGTATTTGGGGGAAATTTGTCGACAGTCCTACGTAACGTACAGTGCTTGAATGAACCGCATCGGGAACTGAAGTTTTCATAAACTTCGACAAATTCAGGCACCGCTTAATAAAAAAACCAAAGTATTGTCATAGAAACAATGTACAAAATACGGAACCAGGCATTCGGTTGATGCGCATATAGAGTGACTTCGTTTGTTGTTTAGCTAAAGTGTTCCGACATGCTTTGGAGCCATCACAAAAAACTTACGTGATGCAGGTGAGTGACGTACTCTCAGATTTTCATGTTCATTGTAACCGATTACCTTGTAAGGCCAATACTATGAGTTATTTTGAAGTCAGTGAGAATGTTCGTAGACGTAGGGCCACTGTGAACTTGTCACGTTCCCTTGGCTGTCATAGATCCACTTATAACAGAAGGTGGAATAAAATGAAAGCTGCTTTCATGAAAAAATATCACTTACGGCTCCTTATATAAGGATATGTTATCTAGACCAAATGTTTGAATTAGTTAAATTACGATCACTGGGATTCTTTGAAATGTAATATACTCTCCATTCTCAGTGCTCAATTTTTGTCGATCTGTTTGTCTTAATATTGATGAATGTTCATATAAATGTGGTCCATGTTGATTGGCAGTTGGACAGTCCTTCGGATTCTCGCGCTCTTTGTCAACTAGTCAAAACAATTTTATTGGAAGACTACAAAGCCAATCTCGTGGTCGGTATGCCTAAAAAACCTTGGCTGTTTAGCGTTTTTGACTGTGATATTCGATCCTTATTAACCCCGTTGACAAGAGTTCAGTCGCCTGCAGAATTTTTGAGGACTACAGTGGCATTCAGGTAGCCTGTTCTGGGGAACACAAGTTTGTAGAGAAAGTCCAACATTATCGACTTTATGGTGGCACTGAGTTTCATCATAAACTCGTAGAATTATGGTCTGCTATGATATTAGTACTGCTCTAATAATAGACCTGATCCTAAAATTAGTAGATTTGTTATGATGTAACTGTCCAATTTATGAGATCATACGTGGAAGTTACATTATCTACACCAACTTACTACATCGTGACAATCACCAATATATGATGGAGAACGAACTTGAGCTAAAGATAGAATAATAGATTTAACATGAATAAAGATTGTGACAAGACTTAAGAGTCACCGCGCCTGCAAGTATGATCCATGCCGTTCCATCAGTGCGAACTTACTCGATTCATTCTTTCTGCCTTCTCCGTCGTTGAGTTTATCTTCGCGTTAAATAGTGAACATAAGTTTTCCAAGTTTTCTCGTGTTCAGCTTGGAGGAGTGTGTGGTTAGGACCCAATACCACTACAACCTCACTAGTAGTGATGCCTGTTTAATCGATACTAATGTCGTCAAAGACTCCTTTCTTTACTTCACTGCGCGTCTTTGCTGGTTTACTCGTCTGCGGACTGTTTTTTTACACTTACTGACGGTTTTTTCGCAAACTTGTCAGTAGAACTATAGTATTGGTCTGAAAATCTTTAGCATTCACGTTGCAAGTGCCACTTACCCATCTGCGACTTGACTTACTGCGTCTATTGTAAGCAGTCATTGTCTGTGCGCCGTGAAAAGAACCACTGCGTTTGTCACACTGCATACCACCAGCGACAGAAATACTGCATTCAGATCTTTTGCACGTCCTCTTCATGATCATGTTGAAATATGACTTGTTCGATAGGTACTAGCAAAAGTTTGTGGCCGTGAGAAAACAAAATGCTCAGACTAGATAAAACGGATAAAATGTTTAGGTATACTAAAATTGTTCTCGAAGTGGAAAACTGTACAAACAAAACGGTACGTTGTGGCTCCCCTCAATCACGCTACTTTGCATTCAATGCTGTCATATATTGCCCCTACTAACTAGACCTATAACACAACATTCAGGATAACTCGTTGCTAACACTCTTGATTTCGGTATCTCAAAATAAATGGCTGTTATTTTTCTTGTAGTGAACTTCAAGGATTAGTATTTTAAGGTTAGGAGACAGAGTGTAGAGGTTTAAGGGTTAGTTGTTATACTTAAAAAATTGGGACCGTAAGTCATGGTCCATCTTGGCAACAGTAATGATCTGCAGACTAAAAAATCGGTACTTATAACTAATAAGGTCACCAGTGATATTTTAACCCCTAGTTTTCAGCAGTTTTCAGTTTTTTATATCATTTGGATCTGAAGTACGGAAGCTCCATATAGATTCGCCATTTCTGATCACTCACTATCAAGGTCGTCCTTCAAATCTTGAAGGGATAGTGTAGTTTCCACAAATGTGTCATTCTGAAGGCCTAAACAGCATGTTGCTGACATCACGATAGGAAGAGTCAATATAGACAACGATATGATCTCCACGCTTAATCTCGCTAACTACATTATATCGGACATGATATGTGCTACAACCAGAGAAACAACTCTGGACATGTTAGCTGAAAGAATGAAAAAGAACACGATCGGATAAAAACGAGCACTATCAACACTTCAGCTCCAAGATACATTGTTTTGCTTGAAATCAACCATGCTATCGACTGGCAAGGGCCTGAGTTTGTTAAAAATGTATGCACCAGGGTAAGTGTGAAATCCCCCTAAAATTTTCGATGTGACGATATAAGGTCTGATTGAACCTTTCCAGCCGCCTAGATTCGTCGCAATAACCAATGTTAGAGACAATATACAATTGATGAGAAGCTAATGGTTGTGGACGGTTCCTTTGTAGTGGCATTGGACAATAGCCACACAATCCACAAAGCTATGAACACGAGACTACTCAGAAAATAGATATTCAATATTTAACTCGGGGAAATACCTAACAATGGAGAAGGCGCAGAGAATGAATTGAATGGACTGGAGTTGATCGAGTGGCATGGCTCGGCCATGCAGGCGTGGTCTCTGCTGAATGTTACCTTATATCTTCTATTCATATTAAATATATTGTTCTTTCTCTAGCCTAACCTTGTTCTACATCATGTATTGGTAATTGATAAGATACAGTGAGTTGGTGTAGTCGATGGTGTGACTTGCACGTAAGATCTTATAGATTAGGCAGTTATATCATGACAAATCTACAAAGTTAGGATTAGGTCTATTATTAGAGCAGTACTAATATCATAGTAGACTATTCCTCGGTAGTGAAATCAATGAAAAATTGTATTTCACCCCAAATGGTAAGATTAACCTTATGCGACAAAAACTGAGTACAGAGAGTATCAATAACTACGGGAAAAAATACACTGAGAATAAAGAGTTTTGAATTGCACAATAATTTCCTGACTAGGAAGTACAAAAATCCATCCGAACAAAACATGTTCTCTTGTATAGAGCCTCAAATAGATGGTTCATCTCATGTATTTTACAGCAGCCTTTCCTCCGACAGATCATTTACGAGATTCAAAAGCTTAGACCTAAGAAGTCGCTAATTTAGAAAGAACCTGAAGGCGCTGATATGAAAATACATGAATGAAGTTTCGTGATTGATGTATGTAAGCTCCGAAGTTCTTCACTAGAAGCAATAATGACAGCACTTCATAGTAGGTTCTTCAAAAGAATGGGTCAAAGTTTACGTGGGAACAGTAGGTGATGAAGGGGAATGTACCAGATTTTACACATCGAACACTTCCTAAATTAATAGTTAATGTCAACCAGGCTGAGATCCTCACGGACATATATTCTGGATCAAATCAAATTGTGTGGGTTTCCCTTATTAGTTTTCTCTCTTCAGACGGAGCAAAGGTAAACTTAAAGAAGCGGTTTTTCTGATGTTTTTCAGAATGTACTTTTTGTCCTTTTCTATAAAGCCCACAAATGCTCATTCCTGAAACTGTTCCCAAGAGTAAATTGCTTATGAAAGACTTAATTTGACTGAAGTCGTGCTCAAATGCAGTCTTTGGTTCCTTTTCAGAAGACTCTCTTAACTTAGAATTTCCTCTCTCACTCCAAAATGATAAAGTTACTCTGGAGCATATCCAACGACGAGCAGCGAAATCAGTTCGGGGACTCAAATTCAAGCCTTATGAAGGGCGTCTTCATTCACTATACCCTTACCCATAAGAGTACAGGCGTTTTAGAGGTAACCTTCTAATGGCTTACAGCATCTTATTTACTTCTGGATATCCTTCTAAACACCTATTAAGTTAGCTTAAAACACAAACATAAGTGATAAAACCCAGAAAATGGAGACACAACACAACAGAACGGACTGTAGACACAACTTCTACTCCTTGAGAGCTGTCAAACGTCGAAATTCGCTGCCGGCCGAGCTAGTCCAACTGGCTTCCCAGGAGTCCTTTGAGAGGAAACTTGATCTATTGTTAACAACTAAGGATGGTATCTTACTATGATTTACCTATTTGTTTTTTCTCTTTTGTCGGTAATATACCCAGGTTGCTGACTGGAGGTATTGGTGATCCACGGCTACTAGACACAGAAGCCTTTTAAGCGAAAGCTTCAATTCCGTCCAAAATCATTTGTCCTTCCTAAACAACGCAGGTGAAACGACAAAAATTACGAAGCAAGATAGTTACACCGCTTAAAAATTTCTTGTATCAATAAAATTTATAAAAACGAGTGTATAATTATTACGTATTGAACTTGTTTTAATCTACGCTATTAAGGTTACTAGCTACGGTGTCTTTTCAACTTTATTTACTGCAACGTTGATATCGCAGTTTAAAATTCTCACACTGTCTGCCTCTAGTTTCTTTTTCCAGATTCCATAAACTCAAGACATTTGTTATCGCTGTTCATTGTGCACTACCTTGGTAATTAAATTTGGGTGAATAGTGTGCGCCTGCTGAGTCGCAAGCTCATTTTCTCTTTGTTTTCTTTTTCAGCTCCATTAACTCACACTACTTTGCATACAGTGCTAGCACACAAAGCAAATACTGGCTGAACTCAAACTACTACAATTGGCAATAGTTGTATTTAAAGGATGTTCGATCAAACAATTACTGATTGATTAGTTTGACCAGTTCATATAGTCGGTCGATCGCAACTACTTGATAGTTTTTCAATCTGGTAATTTATTCGAATCTTATCGAAGGATTTACTTTTGGAATAATTCCAGCTACTCGTTTGAGCTTCACATTTGTAGGGTAGTAATGCAACCGTTAGATGAAACGGACAACGTAAAAGTAGCCGTGCGGTGCCGGCCAATGGATAAAAAAGAAATTGCAATGAACTGCCAGTCTGTGATTTCGGTATCTTGTTTGTCATCCGTGTAAAATTATGTCATATTGTAGGTGAGTGAATTGGATGGATGTGTGATATTAAAGCGCACAAGTTCATCTGATGACCCTCCAAAGCAATTTTCTTTCGACCTTGTTTTCGGTTGTGGAAGTAAACAAACTGATATTTACAACATGGTAGCGAGACCAATTGTTGATAAAGTTTTAGAAGGATATAATGGTACTTATTCAAATATCAGTCATTAGATCTATTTTTGACTTCTAAAGGAACTATATTTGCTTATGGACAAACAGGTACTGGAAAAACATTTACAATGGAAGGGATCAGGTCCGAACCAGAACTGAGAGGTATTATTCCAAATTCATTTGCCCATATATTTGGGGCAATCGCAAAAGCTGATGCGAATACGAGATTTCTGGTTCGTGTTTCATATCTGGAGATATATAATGAAGAGGTACTGTACATTTTCCATATCCAACTCCTTCAATTTGTTCAATTACTGTATCTTTTATTTTAACAGTAAATAAATGATTGGTTTTGTTTCATTATCTAATATTAAGTGTTAACTTTACGTGGAATCGTTCTGTAAATTTTATGGTCAGGCTTTGATATTTTGAGTTTGAGAGCATATTTTAAATACTATATCAGTCATTTTGTTGAAACCTTCCATGGCATTTGAATGTTTCGTGAATAATTTGTTCTTCAGTAATACACAGTAATGTGGTTGGTGTGCATTATACTTTGCGGGTTTTATTTTCGTAAAACTTCTACTTTTGGTTAAACTTTTACTAGTTAAAGTGATACTTTGTGTTTACATTGAACGTTCCACTCTCATACCAATTTATGGGAGTGTCCAAACCAAACCTCCGTTTGTGCGACCGTAGTGTTTAGATCTTAGTGTGATACCTTGAGAAATGGTTTATTACAAAATAAGTAGAAAAATATCCCGTGCTAGGTCCTAAGTCAATAACCATGATATGAAACTGTAAAGTGAGATCTCGTTCTATGTCCGGATGAGAGAAATAGATATTTTAGTTAATTCTATTATTAGTTGTTAAAATTTTATGTCTGCAACCAAGTATTTACCTGTAAAGATGACACAGTTATTCGAAGTTTGACAACGTCTTTACACATAACACCAACCCAGTCAAATCAGAGGTTAGAAATGAAGGGGTTCAAAGATATTTTTGGAAGGCTATTGATAGATTGAGAATCGTTTGATGTCAGCTGACCAACAGTTACAAGGGATGCGTAGTGCGATGTGCCCACTTAAGATCTGGTGCGGATGCATGACCAAGCACCTTCAGTTAGGTGTCTGCAGTAAAACTTGTGAGGTCAGCATCAATGTCAAAAACGTAGGAACTATTTATTTTAGCCATTTATTTATCGCTACACTGGTTTGATAGTCATAAGAGTATTAGCATCTTTAGTGAAACAGGCCGCATGATCGGATGAAATTTGACGCATAAATTCTTACTTAGAGAAAATACCCTTAAATTTTATGAAAGCATGCAGAAAACTGTAACAGTTGTTGAATTGTATTGGATGTTCATTTTGAAGTCAATGTCTACAACTTTTGTTCAAGAACTTGTGTCAATGTGGTCACATCGATGAGGTACTGGTGAATGTCGCTTTAACTAATGTCCACTAATGAACGACTGCTAGAATTAATTTTTGAACACCAACCTTTGAATCATCTGATTAACTAATCTACATCAACTTTGAGCTCAATCTTAAAACTACGTATTGTTTTGTACGTTTATAGACTATTCACAAACAAGATTGGAGAAGATTTACTTAGGAATAACAGTTTATTGACGTAAGTAATACCAAGAGTACTAAGGTTATACCCCGCTGGGATCTACTTCTTACGGGTTTTTGTCCAACTACCATCCCATATACTCTCACTCTCTACCTTCCACGAAAGATAATGTTTCTAAATCAATCTTTCACCTTGAATTTAAGAGGCTTTTCCGTAAGCCCCACATTACAAACGCCCCATCAAATCCTTTACGGAAGTTTGTGAATGTTATCAGCAAAAAGGCAAATAAATTTAGTCACCAATTAGTCCCCTCTCACAATAAGAACGTTTGTCAGGCAAAAATGGCCATTAGTAGGACCATTTTGTGCTTCTATCGGCAAATTTTGTTACTCTATGTTACAGTTGAGCCTAGTCTGGACTAGTTTTTTAAGATCAATGCTACTATACCAGTTGAGCTAACAGATCGATAGTTACACCTGGAATGTCCATTTCCATCCCTGAAAATATGGCTAATTAGATTATCATTTTAGTATTTCAATAAAAACGCAACAAATAATTTCAGAAGTAATTTAACAGTGTTTGTGAGGAACACAGCGCCTGAATGTTATTCACCAGTCTAGTGACATATGCATTCCACATTAAGCAAAGCCACATATATATATATATATATATATATATATATATAATATTACGATTTCGGTAACCAAACTTTCTTTACAATCTCCCTTGGTTTAGTTGAGCAGATTCAGTAATAACAGCGTGACTGATGTCCACCAGATAACATTAACAGTTGTTATTGCTTACAACATGACGTTTTCCATTTACTGATTGATATTTTTACTGTTCTTAAGACTTATTTTGGCGTTATTTATATATTAGGCACTAGAAAACGTAAACTAAGAGCGAACAAATATGGTCTTTTAGAAAATATTGTATTGCTATGTATTTCAATAGAAACCCTTAAGCTTTTGCTTATTTATAAAATGTTCATTTCTTCTATACTTTGAGAACAGTATTTTTTTCTATCTCTGTCCATTGTTCCTCGTTACGGGTTCCTCCAGAAATTCATTGTTAATTGAAGTGTTATTTAAATCTTTCGATTTTTCTTTATCTGAATCTTCTCATCATATAGATTTTATCAAGAATTTCCAAATAATAACTCTTACACTAAAAAGGTTCGAAATTAAGTGAATTTTTGTGGTGCTGTCTATTTTTCTTTGGTAAACTTCTAATTACCGATCATGCATTTACATATCAAAAAGATTACTTTCCTTTTTCTTCTTCATCGGAGATTTACCTTATAGCTGAGATGGTTTTACTCAATTGTCTGCAAACCTCAAGCTTATTTGCTTTGTCTTCTATTACAACAAACGTGTTTTGTCTTCATCGACGCTGAGAATAAAGCTTTCAAGTCATTTAAATAATTAACTACCTGTTGATTAGACTAGAAAATATCGTATATAATGAAAAATTATGGTCAAGTGATTTCATTGCTACCTCTTATTTATAGATTTATTCATTAATCTAGAACATCATAATCGTTAAGCAGTTTAGTAACTGTTCACTCAAGACGTATCGAAAAGTCTTTTCATCCATAGCTTCCACTGATATATTTTTTTGTATATGTAGCTACTGGTATTAATAAAAAAACGCAATTTGATTGAAACACCATAAATTTTTATTTTTTGTGATACTGATATCTGTGATTTGTTGAATTGTAAACCAATTAGCAAAGTCATGATAAAAAGTACTTAAAGTGGCAACTAATATAAATTATTTTATTTACATCTTGAAATGATTTTACCGACACTACCAGTTTTGACAAGACAAGAATTTCCTCAAATCAAATCTAGAATTCAGTACTAAACTGAATGAAACTCAATATCTGATTTGAACCACCTGGTTTTTCAGAATCCAAACAGTCACCTACAATCATGCATTCTGATTATGTTACCTTTATTAACTCATTTTTCTATGCAAATATCTATTCACAAACAAAACATCCTTTAAACGTTTGTATTGATTACATATTAATATACAAAGTCTATCGGTTATTATAAACATTGTTCTATCCATGTTAAAGATATTTATTTTGATAATTAACCGAATATCAATTTGTTGCTGTTAAATCGGAGAAGATATCTGTCGAAATGAATACTTTATTTATAAAATTATGTATAATACTAGTCTTTTTATTTACTCCATAGGTTAGAGATCTTCTTGGAAAAGATCAATTTGCACGTTTGGATGTTAAGGAGAGACCAGATATTGGTGTGTATGTTAAAAATCTATCTTCGTTTGTTGTACACTCCCCAAATGAAATGGATAAATTGATGTCATTCGGAAACAAAAATCGTAAGATTTTATCACAATTTTATTAAAAGTATGATTAATCAGGACATTTAATTTCCTGATGGGAAATTTTACTGCTATACAATATATATAAGAAAAGATGGATGATGGCTAGCACTGGAATCCAGGACGCACATTTCGTCCCACTTTGGATTTGTCGGCCGAATGTACCTGCATCACAGAGTTGATGTTCACTCCGAGACTCGAACCCAATACCCCATCGCGTTATCCACTTATCTACTGAGTCTAGATAGTCACTCGCTTGTGCAATGAGATGAAGCTTAATTCATTCGTGCATTGGTTGTTTGAATCTTCCTACTGATGTTTAGGACTGTAATTGATCACTCTCTTATTGACATATGTGCATCCTGTGCGGTTTACCTCAATTATGTCTTAAGTCACAAGCATTATGAACAAATATGCTTGTAACTTAAGGCAATAATCGAGAAAATACGCACATGATGCACATATGTCAATTAGAGACTGATCAATTGCAGTCCTAAACATCACTGGGAAGATTCAAACAAATAATACAAATGAATATATCATATATATCTAATAAAATACGTTTAAACAACCATGGTCAATTTGTTTACCAATCTTTTTTTATCAGACTTATTTATATATTATTGAACCGTTGAGTAATTAGTGTTGAAGTTAAAAAGAAGTTTACGATGGATAAAAACTAATCAAGAAAATTAACAGCATAAATCAACTGTCTGTTTGAGCACATTATATTGGAATAAATAAGAACAGATTGAGACGAGCAAATCATAATGATTCTATCGCTTTCTAAATGCTGTATCAGAATATGTTCATCTATGCGGACCAACTTCTATTTCATAGCCTTGTTATTGTCTTATGTACAAGTTTCATATCGCGGCAGGGAAATTTACGAAATATTTCACATGTCGTTCAATATTCCAAATAGTTGGTTGGAGGCAGAAGTATCTGACTGTAACTTTGTTGAATAAACTAGACGTCTAATATAAATCAAACTCACCGACTTATTGTCGATAATTCGACATTTTAAATCATGCTCATAATCTTGGAATTATTCATTTTGTTTTCTATTGTATACTCATTAAACAACTTGATCTATAAAATTTTTACCGAAAATTTTTTCAGCGGTAGACTTTATGAAAGTGAGACATGTTTATGACAATTCGCAAATAAGCTAAAAAAACCCAGTTCTTTCTAAGTATTCACGCGTCAGACAAATAATATAATGCATGAATGCAGCAAAAGATATCGGTATGGTTATACAAACTTATTCGTTCAACACTGGAATTCAAGCGATGTACTCCAGTTTATTTGACATCCCTAACGCCTTCACTTATCTTGACATTGTGCAACTTTACGTGACGTGTTCAATTCTGCCCCATTCATCAGATAAAACACATTATACTGGAGTTTTTCAGCCTTCTTTGGTTTACTGAATTCCTAACTATATTACTTTTGTTTCTTACTTTATAAAGGTGTAACTGGTGCAACTAATATGAACGAGCATAGTTCACGTTCACATGCAATTTATACAATAACAATTGAATGTAGCGAACATTCGGAGAAGAATAAAACATTACTTCGTCAAGGGAAATTACACTTAGTTGATTTGGCTGTAAGTAGAGTTTTAAAGAGCTTAATTTAATTTCTGACAATAAACTGGCTATATACACAGATAATCTTTTGGTGTACAACAATAAACAATCAAATCAATTTGGAAATCCCCACTACTATGAGTATCACTACAGTTGAAATTTATGGAAAATTCTTCTCAAACATATCCTTTATCAATTACGAAATAGGGTCACTCTTTAAATAATTAGTAGGAATAATATTTCTTTGTAATAGGTGAATAATGAATCCCAAATAAGCGGCCACTGTATTTCTACCTAGTAAGTACCTTAAGAAAACATGGTGTTCTGATTAATATCCATAGATCACGAAACATAAAAAAACTGGTATTTTTGTATCTGTTCTCGACATAGAAAATGAAATACATGTAATAACTTCCTGTTTCATCTGTTTGAAGAGCTGTACTTTACCTAGTCAGTAAACAACGATCAAAGATAGTGGATACATCGCTCACATGCATAAATCCTACCTAAATTACATGTTAATATCCATCTTATTCATTACCTTTTACTATTTCATAAAGAATTGTCTGTTGCAATCTAGGAACACAATGTTACTAATATTTGATGATGTTAACATTCGCGTAATCGATGAGATTTCTTGAATGTAGCAAGTAAATTATTACAATCTATTGTGTCCTTAGCTTGTACGATTATCGTGAAATGCGATTACCAATTTAGATACGCTGACTTATACGACCAAATTAATGACGCATACACCAGTACGGGTAGCCTAGAGTTCTAATTGGTTATTTTTCCAGCTAGCCCTGCCGGTTAAGTCCAGAACGCCCATCTCAGCCTCCACGATATTATTCATATATTTCAGTCAGTAAGTAAGTAACAACGTAGAACTTCGTAAGTACGTACGTCAGTTCAAGTTGCCACACCACATTAGCACAGGGATGCAGTGGTCGATTCAAATACCGTAGTGGTAGAGGGAATAAGAGTATAAGCAGTAATCGGGAAAATCAGTGTTTGGAGATATTATTTAAAGAGTATAATACAGTGAAATAAATTTGGGAAGAGAAAAAAAAGAGACAAGGAGGAATAAGGAGATCAAAATTCGAGAGAACACAAAGAGTGTATGCACCTGCGCCATTGCAAACGATTTTGAGCCATGTCATTCAGGGTCTCTAACCATCGGTTGCTATCATCTCGTGGTCCCCAACCAGGTAGTCTACACCTACTAACATGACTCAGTTCACTTGTCAGTGATTTCATGAACTTGTGCCATGATTTGGTCTGGCCGCCCCTAGCTTTCTTCCAACTTACTCCTATACCACTGAACATCGCACGTCGAGGCAGTCGGTCGTTGGGCACACGTAACACGTGTCCCAGCCATCTCAACTGATGAAGTTTCACTACGTCATCAATTAATTTGCCAACCTTACCTAGTACCCGTTTCCTAACAACTGCATTACTTACTCGATGGTCCCAGGATATACGAGCAATATTTCGAAGACACCTATGATCAAATACTAGTAACCTACGGATATCCTCCACTCTTACCGGCCATGTTTCACTGCCATAAAGTAGGACGGAACGAACTGCTGCGCACTAAACCCGTCCTTTGGTTGATAGACGGATATCTCGCCTACGCCATAAATGACGCAAGTTGACAAAATCTAGTCGAGCCTTCTGTATCCGTGCTGAGATTTCGTCACACACCAGACCACAAGGGCTGATGAGACTTCCAAGATAAATGAAGCTATCGACACACTCAACTACTTCACTCCCTACCACTAGTTCGGGTGTCGATGTAACCCAATCCTGAAGCAACATTTTGCATTTCGAGGGAGAGAATCGCATCCCGAACATGCTTGCATTGTTGCTTGGAGTGGTCAGAAGACTCTGCATTTTGTCAGCGTCTTCACCAAATAAAACTATGTCATCTGCATATTCTACGTCAACAAGTGAACCTCCCGGTAGAAGTTCAACCCTTGGAAATCTAGACGAGAAAAGTGTTATCTCTAAAAGTACGTCGACGACAAAGTTGAACAAGAATGGGGAGAGTGGACAGCCCTGACGAACACTACTTGAGGTAATCAATTCTGATGACACATCGCCATAAACTCTCACTCTACCAGTTGTGTTCGAGTAGAGAGCCTTTATAAGGTTAATGTGCTTCTTTGGTACTCCTTTCAGTGACAAACACTGCCATAGAACCTTACGATCGACAGAGTCGAAAGCTGCTTTAAGGTCGAGAAATACTACGATTGTGGGGCGTCTGAACGTGTGTCTGTGTTCTAGAACCTAACGTAGTGAGAATATCTGATCTATACAACCACGTCCAGGTCGAAAACCGGCCTGGTTTTCTCTAGTCTGCATTGGTTAAGCGTCGGAGTATTATTCAAGTTAATATTTTAGACACTATATATGTCAAACTGATTCCTGTGTGATTGTCACAAGAGGTATTTTGTCCTTTCTTATAGACTGGTACAATCAGTGAGTGAGACCAGTCAGATGGGATTACGTCCAGTTCCCAAATTCTACCTAAGATCTCAGTTAATCTCACTGCTAATATTGAACCACCATCCTTAAAAATCTCAGGGGTAATCGTGTCAGGGCCTGCTGCTCTCCCTCGCTTCAGATTTCCTATGGCTTTTTCAACTTCATAAAGGGACGGAGGACCTACATTAACTTGCCATTCAGGTTGGCTGGAGATCGTGGGAAACCGAAGTGTGGCTGAAGACCAGTTGGATTGATCCCTAAAGTGTTCTGCCCATCGATCCAATCTCCTGGATTGAGAATGAATAAAATGCCCATCTTTCTCTGAGATTGTTTCGCTAACAGTTGGGTTCCTAATACCGGTTTCCTTAACAAGTCTGAACAATTGTCTGCTTTTACCTATCGCCGCTGCCTTTTCCATCTCTCTTGCTTTCGCTACCCACCACTGTTCACGATCATTGCGTAGACTTCTTGTCAGCTTGCGCTTAAGCTGACTCCGCTCTTCATTATGTTCAGAGCCAGGTAGAATGAGTTTCCGAGCATCTATTAGTGCGGTAGATGCTGCTGAGATCCAGTGTTGCTCCCTAACCTTGTGGTTTACAGTACTAGCAGATATCACTAATGTTTCCACAGCTTTTCGGATATCATTCCATGCTGCCTCGGGGTCTTCTTTCGAGCCCCTCCATCGGTGGCTGATAGCGATGTGATCTATTTGGGTCCAACGTTGGGACGAATTAGGGGGTCTCCATGTGAAAATATGTTTTTGTTTATGCTTAAAGTTAGTATTTGCGAGAAACAGGCGGTTATTTGAGCATAGCTGCAACGAACAGTCGCCATTATTTGTTCTTTGAGCCACGACAACATAAGATCCACCCAGGTGTCTTTCCCTATCGCTTAGTTTAACTACTTGAGCATTAAAGTCACCAGCCACTATTACTACATCAGAGCGCCTAGCTTTTCGGAGAAGGTCCGAAAGCTTTCTGTAAAACTCATCTTTTACATCATCTGCGCTGCAGTCAGTGGGAGAATAGGCAGAGACGACGAAGAGGCAACGATGAGTGTCCCTATCTTTTCGAATCCTTACTGTTCCGTTTAGTCGGACAGCGTACAAACGACTGTCTACTGGGATTCAGTCTAAGAGAGCTAGTTCTGCCCTAGGACTCAATGCTATACCTACGCTGGCGAGGCCACGGAAAGCAGAATATGGGCTTCCAGATACACGAAGTGTGAATCGAGTCGGTTCTTTATTTTGGCATGTTGAGGTCAAGTGAATGACGCTACTCGGATCCTGTATGCGCGTTTCGGAGACGCAGCACACATCGATGGCGCGGGATTCTAAAGTTTTAGCTAAAGAAGCCTGCTGTCTTATTTGGCACAGTGTTCGTACGTTAAAAGCTCCTACATGTAGTTTAGAGCGTGGTTTCAGGAGACCAGGAATGGCGTCCCACGTACTCGAATCGTTCGCCCTAGCGGTGCGAGGTGATAAAGAGACGTGAGGAGGGTTAGTCGGGGAGATAAGAGAGGTATTAGGAGGTGTAGGAAGGATTTGAATGTGACCACCTTGGTCTCTTGAGCTGTTACGGGTATGAAGGCTGATGTCACTTCCCGGTTGCCCACACCGTGGAAGGGTATTTCTTGAGGAACCTGAAAAGGAATTCGGATTAATGTCGGCCTTAAAGGCCTGGGAGCGTGACTGCAGAGCCCGGGTGACAACTGCTTGAGGCCGGTCGCGCACGGCCTTTTTGTGGGAGGTTTTTGACATTAGCTCCGTTCTTCAAAGGGCTGGTTGTCCGAGGGAAACACCTTACTGCTGTCACACCTCTCTACAGTCAGCAGTACGACTTCGCCCTCAGACCTTGAGTTGCTGCTTTAAGTCTTACCGTTCACCAATCGACCTGCCTGGCATGGTAGAACCTACAGGAACATATATTCCAGCCAATATAGCTCGGTTGGGTCATCACGATAGGCAAGCCCGACCACCGCGTCAAGGTAGCAGCTTCGGTCGGGATCATATATTTCAGACATACTTGATTTACATACAAGCAAAATCAGACCACATCACACCATAACATGGAGAATAACATTTATACAAAATCAAACCAAAAGTGGTTGTGATTATGAGAAACCGTGACTAATAGATTGACAATAACTTGAGAATAGTAAATCATATGCATTAGACAATGGGTCAATTAAGAGCTTATAATAAGAGGAATATAAATATATATAGTTTAGTTACTTAACAATTATACAATAAGAATATATGTATAGTACCAGTCCATAAGTAGATCTCAACAGTTATCATCCATTATTCTCGTCTGTTATTGTTTGGATATGTACAGATATCTGTTGTTTGGATGACTGGATATAGCTTACGGTAAATTTAGTTATGAACTACTGCCAAATCAATCTTTTCCCGTTTTCACATTACCTAATAGTGTAGATAAATTGGCATTAAGCAATGCCATCATTTTATAAAATTATTTCATACTATATTAAGGTAAGACTACTGTGAGTTTAATGACAAAATGTATCGACCATAAAGCTAAGCAACATAAAGTCCCAAGAACGTTGAAAAAGATATCAATTCTGAAATTCTTCAGCATAAATGTTTTAAGCGAAAACAAATGATATATTTGCGAAGACTGATTGAATTATGTTAGTTCCGCAAGTACTTCAAAACAATGGTTCAGTCAATATATTTATGTATATGAATCTCAAATTTCATTGTATATAATAATCGATTAAATGTACCTCACCAGTTTGCTAGGAAACTAATTTTTTATAGACAGTCATAATGATTACCACTATCATTATCATAATTACTATCACTATTATTATTACTGTCACGATTATTATTATTATTATTATTATTATTATTATTATTATTATTATTATTATTATTAAAACAACCGTACTCTTTGAACATACATTCTAACTCTTTGTATACAACATTTTAGGGATCTGAAAGACAAGCAAAAACTGGTGCAACTGGAAAACGTTTACAGGAGGCGAATAAGATAAATTTATCGTTAACTACATTGGGTAATGTGATTTCTGCATTGGTCGATGGTAAATCAACACACATACCATATCGTAATTCCAAATTAACCCGACTATTACAAGATTCACTAGGTGGAAATTCTAAAACTGCTATGGTAAAATCACTCGTAAAATATCTTTACTCTTCATATGTATTCATTCATTTTTACTTGAGTTAATAATAAGTATTAAAATACTAAAATGGTTTTAGTGATAGTAGTTTTTGAAATCGTTATTAAGATGAATTCGTTCGTTTATGTTGTGGAGTTATATAGGGGTTCTAATTCTGCTCATGAAAATCTGTGTGCAAAATATACCAGAAAGGTAAACACATGTCTTAACAACCACAAAAATTAACTTATTATTCGGTGTCTGAAACAATTATGATGAGCTAATAAATGTTAAAACTTTTGTGAATAATTTAATTAGACCAATGTAATATAGCTAAATCAAGAGATTTGTAGTATAACTCCATGGTAATAATAAACAATACCTATCCAATTCTAGATAAATTTTGACACAATATTATAAAATTTATAATTGTCGAGCTTAATTATTAAGATGACTAAATATATATGCAGAATGAAGACTTTTTTGAATATGCAGATCGCTTTTTTTTCGAATCAATCTAATTCAAACTGATACATTGTTGTAATTCAACCCAAGCAATTCTGGAATCTGGACAAGCACACTGCATTTAGACCATTGAGCTGGAATCAAATGTGTTATACACCTATCATCCAGTGGCCTGTTGTTGAACCTAATCGATTAACAGTTTCTCCCTAGAACTTCACCTCGAAACTTGTTAGATCCCGATAAGCATAATGAATGGTAACTTTGAGATTCATTTATGGACCAATACTAAACGTATATTTTTATCGTATAATTGTTCAATAACTAAGCTATTCATATTCATATTCCTCTTATTATAAGCTTTATTTTGACCTATGAACTATTAATATAATTGTTACCATTCTTGAATCATGCCTTGTCTATTAGTCACTGCATCCCACATTCACAGCCACATTTGGCCAGATTTTGTACAAATGTTATTTTCTATTTTATGGTACGTTGTGGTCTGTTTGATTGGTATATAAACTCAGTATGTTTGAAATAAATGATTCATATTGCAGAAGCTGTGATTGGTGTTCAAGACTCAACTGTCTGGGCTAAGTGGGAAGCAGGCCTAATCAGATCTCTAGGTTACTCGCACGAGTTTTACGCGTCCTTGGTCCGATCGATAATTCACTGCTCTCTGATTGTCGGTATTATTACGTTATACATTAACAAGGCACGCAGTCCACAAGTTATAGTCATTCAAAACTATTTGATTATTACTGAGAAGTCTTATATTATTACAGTACTTCCACAGTAACTATCTATTTCCACAAGATATAAATATTTGCAATTATTATTAATGTAATAATATCATTCGACACCTTTTCTCGACAATTTTAAACTTCAGATAGCAAACATATCACCAGCCGATTATAATTTTGATGAATCATTGAGTACATTAAGATATGCAAATCGGGCAAAAAATATAAAGAATAAAGCGAAGATAAATGAAGATCCAAAAGATGCAATGCTACGTCAATTCCAAAAAGAAATTGAACAACTCCGTAAACAGTTGGAAGAAGGTAAATAAAAAGAAAGATTTACAAATAGAGAAACACAACTTTTCCCCCTCATAATAATCCATGAACATCTAATTAATCCTTAAACATATGATCCCGAAATTTTCGTTGTTCACACCTGACATGTCACTTCGTTGTGTGACGTTGTTCTAAATATAAACCTTCAATAAAGTAAGCAGTCAATTTCTTAAATAGAAAAGTACTTGAATAAAGATCGTAGAGGACTATGACTTGGGAAACGAAGTAAAATAACAGTTCGTACATTGAATAGTCTTTAACCAATAAGTTTAGATTTAGTGTATTTCCTAGAAACTTCAATAAAATATCAATGGATATGTTCGTAATTAGAAATGTGTCTTACCACTACAATATTCAAATAATATGAGCATCACTTAGTAAAGTGTTCACTTGTAGTTGTATTTCTCTAATGTATCGTACATGTAAGAGTCCGACTTGCTGTTAGAAGCAATTCAGTTATAAAGTTGCTCTTGTGATTAGTACTTTCCAGCAACCTCTGCTCATAAATAACCTTACATTCTCTGGATTTTGCCATGGGAGCTAATTATCGTGTAACACAGATTGTTTTGTTACAAAACCTGTTAACGAAACATGTTATTCATTCAGCTTATACCAACCCTTCCCTAATCAAGCAGTTAAAAACAACCACGTATTATACGTTGGTGACAATCTGTTCAATTAATGAACAAAAATTCAAAGCTACACTATCATTTTAAAGCTCTAAACTGAATTCAAGAAGTTTGTATAAGTATATCAAAAGCTAGTAAAGTGAAATGAAGAGTTTAATTTATTATATAATCCAAGTATATAATCCTACTGTAATAAGAAGTTAGAAAAGAAGTATGTTGATGTTTTTTCCATTTCTACAAAAAATAACATGCTTTTCAAGGTGGCATACCTTCAGACCCAACAAATGCGGAAGAAAAAGATAGTGATGATGATAATAATGGAAATGGTACAATCGATCACAATGATCAAGAAAACAGATTGAAGAAATCAAAAGGAAATACAGCAAAACTGAGTAAACAAAAAATGGCTGAAATTCAACGTATGATTGAAGCTGACAGACGTAAGTTAGAAGAAGAGAAAGATATGGCTATAGAGGAACGAAACCGTATTCAGGTAAATTAACAAGAACTCTGTCTTTCAGGTGACCTTTAATCATTTTTTGAATACGTTTACGATATTTTTGTGTTTATTCATACTAGGGTAGGTTGTGAATATGAAACCGTAGTAATTTATTCGAGATCACAAATATGTTTAACAAGTCCAAATACACACGAAACTTATGTCTAGGATATATTTCTGTTTTCTTCCCATTACCTAACATATCAAGTACGGTGTACTGTGATGTCAAGTCACTTAGACTGGCAGTCACATTGCAACGGAATCGACAGAATTCTATTAGTATCATGGATCATACAACCTAAAAATCCTTAATGCTATATGATCGATTGGTACGTATAGAACCTAATATTTTGAAATTGAAGATGAGTTCAACAGCAACCGAGTAGACCTTTATAGTACAAAAATACAAGACTTTGTCTTGGATAAATAAATGTTTTAAAACATAATAAAAATTACTCTACGTAAAATTATAAAAACATTTTTCTTCTTGAACTACTGCAAAACCATGAATGCCTAAACTAGTAAAGTTTCATCATCATAAATAACCAGACATTTAATAAGATAAAAAACGTCTAGAGATTTGAGAAAAAGAACCTCACACTTTACGTCGATAAAGTAGATCATAGTTCATTCAAAACACAATAACCGAAAAAGCATCACAACCTATTTTCTCTATGTGACTAAAGAAATAGATTTATATAAAAATAATATTTCACTCTAATGTGGTGTAACATGCATTATTTTATCTGGTTAAACACATTTACAGGAAACATTACTACTCATAACAGTGAATTAAGGTAAATCAGTTGTATCTACATTAGAATCACTGAAACTTGCATTCAGCAATCATTGACAAATTAAATCCTAATTGTTAATTTGTCAGCATGTTTGAAGACTTTGTAAATTAATGATAGGACATTGTTAACCCTGCAAAAGAAAACAAATTTTACCACTTAAAACGACATAAAGTGCTACTCAATGAGAAATCATATTAAACCAGAAAAACGATTCTATTAGGTAATTATTTTGTCCCAGTAAGGAACTTCTCAGCAATAAACATGCTACCCCAGAACCTTCAGAATTATTAGTGAGCAGTATTACCTTCGAACCACTAAGTCAGGACCCGGTGGTCTACAGTTCATACCTCATATAATTCGTGATATCAAACGACTGTCGCTGACATCCATTTAAACTCTGACGAGGTTGTACTCGACTAGTCACGAATTACCAAAAAAACAGAAAAGTATAAGACTTTTCAAGTTAAAACTTTTGTTTCAAGAAAGGGGAAGTATAGGATTGTTAAGCCTTGAGAATTCCAAATTGATATCACCTACCATATTGCTAGTCGGACCAGTGACCAATCTTACGAATCTACACAACCAATGAACGACAACCAAAGCCCTAGCGCTTATTGGTTATCGAACCCCTTTCTAACCCAGGGCCAATCAGAAGACGATGATCTTGTCTGAGAACTCATGTAATAATATGCTGAGAATTCCTAATCATACAGCACTCCATACAAGAAATTCCCATAAGTGGTAGAAGAAAATATTACATAATCAATCGGCAATAATTAAGGGACGGTAAAATATCTAACAACGGTCAAAAGGTCCACTGGACGTTTACAGTAGGGGAAATATAGAAATGTAACAATATATTTATCTATTAATAATGCAACAAAGATATAATTAGTAACAATCCAGAAAATAGCTAAGAGATTTTCAACTTTCCCAATATTCGTTCTGTTATAACAAGGAAAAACAATTTCTTCCATTTCACAAATTAAAATTCATTCAAACACATTGAATATTCATACTTCTATTGTTAAATAATAATAGAAACATCTTGAGACCAAAGAAAACGAATTAAGACAAGTTGAAGTAACTCGTAATAATCTAACGAAACGTATGGAGGCATTACAAAGTCGCATAATTGTTGGAGGCGAAAATTTATTAGAAAAAGCTGAAATACAAGAAAAATTATTAGAAAAATCAGCGATTGAATTACAAAAACAACAATTACGTGCGGAACAATTACATCAAAAATTAAAAGAAAAAGAGGAAGAACGTATCAATATTGAAGAAAAATATAATAATCTACAGGTAATTTGTTCGATGATATTTACCTTGAAAATGTTGATGTATGATTAATGGTTTCTTTCATTTGTAAACTTTACTAGTTTCATTTAATAAAAATAATGAACAGATTCGAAGTAAGTGACCTGTAGAAAATAATATGTACATGAAAATATTCCGAAGAAAAGAAATGATTCAAATAGTTGTCAAATGATGATATTTTGGGTGGATTGTTCAAGTTGTTAGGACAGCAAATACCTCTTTTTCTGTTGAACATATTAGAAATCAAGATTGTATTTGTTGGGATATTCAGAAAAATATCCCCGAAATTATTCTGTTACGTCTAACGCTATCCTAGGACATGAAATGGTATTATTTTCTTATTGGTCAATATTTATATCACCTGTCGTTTTCCTACTGGTCAATATTGTACAATGTTATTTTATATTTTATGGTACGATGTGGTCTGCTTGATTGGTATATAAACAGAGTATGTTCGAAATATAACCTTTCATATCTCAGGGGCTGAGACTTGCGTTCTGGACTCAACTGGCTGGCCTAGACAGGGAAACGGGACCAATCAGAACTCTAGGCCGTTCTTACGTGTTTACGCGTCTTTGGTCCGATCGTTAATACGCTGCTCCATAATCTGCAGTTCACAGTTACAACAGTATTAAATGCTTTAGCTACTGACCCTTCTTCCTTTATAGTTTATAAAGTTCTTTTAGATTATTTAGTCTTCTTGTCAGAAATGCATTTTTTTTCTACTTATTAGAACATTTCGAATCTAAATGTATATCATTTTTGTCATAAGTAATCTACCTAATTTTAATTTGTATATATTGGTTGCTTGGATCTTCCCATTGATGTTTAGAATCACAATTGATAAGTCTCTTTTGGTATATACGCATCCAGTTGACCAGTCCCAAATAAAATGAAATGCGCGTCATGGATTCCACTGCTAGCCACCATTCATCTCTGATTAAAATCTACCTACCTAATTATCAAAACAAATCTTAATAGTGATATTTAAATATATAATCTCTTGCTTCAACCTGATAGTATACGGAGCTTGGGTAGATATGCAGAACATAGCATGCTAAACAATACTTGTACAAATAATCCTGAGGATAAAAAACAAAACTGATTAGTAAATCCAGGATTTTACACAGAAGCATTTCTTTTTTCTAGATTTCTCCCATACATGCTAAACATTAAACTAATCGAATTTAACAGTATACTTGACAGTAGGATAACTGTGAATGTAAACCTTATGTTTAACTACTCAAATCAAATTACCTAAAATATGATCGCTACTATGTATATATATTGTTGTAATCATACACCATAAGAGATCAAACGGAAATCTCTCAGACCTCGTAGCTTACATAATAATCAATTTATATATTTTTACGAATATATGACTTATTTGATAATCAAATCTGCCAATATCAAATTGATGCAACTATGGACAAAAAGTTGTATGTTAAACATCAAGCAATATTCCGTAGTTATTATCGAAGTGATAGTTTTACACATAGAGTTTCAGTCAAATAAAGTATTTTCACAGTTAAATCTAAAATAATATTAAACAATTTATGTAAAGCTTATTTGTTCATAAATTTGAATGAATATTAATATTACCAGTAAGTGTTAAATATAAGCATAACTCTTTATATTAACAATTCCTATACGATTAATAACTTGAAACTCTAACTTCTGGAAAGTCATCGTCAATAATTTGTTTTGATACAACACAACTACCCATTTATATGAAATAGTTCCTTCAAAGAGACGTTACTCACTCAAGAAATAAAGTTTGACATTATTTAGTTGTATAATTTTTAAGCACTTAGCTGTGAACGACAATGATTCGTCTATACTACTGAAAATCGAGGTTACTAAAATTGATACATCTTTGTTCAAGTTTTTGCATTAAATTATCTGTTTGTAATTTACGATATGGTTATTAAAAATGTACTGTCAAATTTAAAAAAAGCTGACGTTGATAAATGCTACTGTAATTGCCAACATAGAAAGATAAAAGGTCCTATGCCATGCTACACACTCACTCAGTCATCATCAACTCCAGCACAAAAATGTATTGGTCTGTTATCACAAGATAATAGGCGAAGGAGAGGATTTAATTTCAAGTACAATAGAAAATCTAAACATGAGAGATTTAGAAAAAGATATAGGATGAATACAACTGAGTTTTATTTTGCACCATGTCACCCAACGTCTCTAACCATTTTTTAAAATTATTGCGCGACACCTTTCTGTAATTAAGAAGTCTTCTCTATTTTGCACTACACCTTACACGAATGTTCCCTCTTTGTAGATCTTACAAAATTGTGAGATCGTAATAAATTTACAAGTACTCCTACGGCAGGAATTACTTAAACTTATGTCAAGATATAACTATTCACAATTTATTTTCCAACTTATCGGTAGCTTACGGACAGCTCCAAATTAGTAAATTGCTAAAAGGTCTGCCTCTTTGTGTTATATCTGATGTAAATAGCGACTGAATTCATTGGCGAATATTCAACTGAACATACATGCAAATGATTCACTTCATTTATATGAATAGCTCTATCCATACAAATCATCGTAAGCAAATGGTTAGTACTCATGCAGATCTCTTCGACTTAATTATGTACAGTTTAATTATTTGAACGATTGTACATTATAGTAGCAGAAGAATAAACAAATTAAATTATTTTAGAATTGTGGATAGATTTTTGACCATAATATTCAGATCACCTGTTTTGTTAACACATATAATATTAAAAACTACAAATATAAGTACTTCATGTAGTTATTTGTAATACTATACTTAAATTTGAGATGGTGGAGAAGATTTGTAGCTCAGGTGGATGATTTTGGTGGAGTTTTGTTCTCTGAGCTGGATGGTTTGGTCGTGAAGCTTTCATCGTTCTGAAAGCTTCACGACCAAACCATCCAGCTCAGAGAACAAAACTCCACCAAAAACTATACTTAAATTTGCACATTATGGTTGTGAGCAATTATGAACACTGGCTCTGACTTTCTTCGACGAGCTAAAGTTCTCAGATTTAAATTACTGAAAATTGTCAAATGATGTAACTCGTAACTGTCTCTGATTGATATTTATTACTTCCAGCCACTCATTCATCCTATATGTTTTACATCACTACACTTGTAATTACTGGTTATTCTAATAGTATCAAACTCAGGAAACTGAGTGACCCAATTGTTTAGGTTTTAGTAAAGATGCAGAATTAAATCATCCCATTAGTCTTTACCTTCCACTGTCTTCCAAATATTGATATGGCTTTAAGCCTTTTATTTCCCTTAAAGCTTAAATCAAAATTTGCTGCGTAGAATAATACTACTTCTTATGCTATGTTAATCGAGATATGCTGATCAGTTTTAATTTTTGTATATGATCATAAACAACAGACTATTTACAAAAAAACTGTTATCATCTGTCTTTTGTTCAAGGGAGATGAGATCTCAGGAAGAATCGATGGGAAAATCAAAGTGACACTGATAAGCTCTCCTGTAGCTTAATTGGTTCATATATATAAGGCTGTTTGCAACTGATAGGAAGTCATGCAATAAAAGAATCCATTTTATTCTGAAAACTTTTCTGTATTCCTCCCGTTTAAAACTCATAATTAACTTCATGTAGCATGATTCGCGACTAAATGAAAACCCACTTCCATTTTGTGTTAAAGGACTATCACTACTATTTATCATATAATCAAATAATTCAAATCGAGGTAACATGAAATAGAACAATGTTAACAACTACGGGCTGATTACCACACGTCATTGAATTACCAACGGAAACTGCCCTGAGACATTATGTTCTTTCAATGACAATTCTGACTTCTAGTTTAAAATTATTTGTCATTTTTTCTTGTATTGGTATTATTTTAATAGGCGGCTCTGATTTTTTTACTTAATCTAGGAAGAAGCTGCCGGGAAGCGTAAAAAACTACGTAAATTAAGTACAATATATTTGCAAGCCAAGTCGGAACTTGAAGATATGAAAAATGAACACGTTCGTGAAATGGAAGGCTTAGTAGATAATATACATCAATTGGAAAGAGAATTGGCTCGTTATACTCTAATCATCGATCGATTTATTCCACAATCATACCAAGTAATTAATGAAAGGAGCTATTTTTCTGCATTTATATTATTTCTCAGATAAACACATTCTATGATAACGAGGCAACGTTAGACCAATTTTGTAATAAAATCTCGGCTTCTATACAAGTCACTACACTATAATTACTGTTTGAGGACTAGCAACATTACCCGTAATCAACTACTATTTGAAACTAATGAAACCAGTCGACCCCCGAGAATTTTCTTGAAACTCGAAACCATTTCAGGCATAATTAGTTAATCATGTATTAATTTGAACAAACAAAATCAACTCACTTATTGATTAGAAAACATTAGTGAATATCTGATATATCAGAACTGATAAATTTTACGCAGAACAACAAGATAGTGGAAGTTAAAATGCTTACATCCAACATGAGTTTTTATGATTAATTTCTGGAAACTATCTTAACTAGAGCTAATCAAAGTAAAGTGCTAATTATTTTTTAAATGACTGATTCCATGTTAATGCTTTATTTTGATAACGGAATGATGTTTGAATACTAATTAATAAGTATTATCATGGAAGGATACAAAAAGTAATACGTTCTTTATCGTCGCTTAAGTGAAATCGCTTAAATTCTTTAATTCATCGTCTAGACATTTTTTCAACTTTTTTAAAACTTACGATGTAAATTAGATATACCATAATGAGTGTATTGCCATTCTCTACACAGTAACTATTGATTGTTTAGTACAAATTGTCAAATGAGCTGTAGATCAAACTTAATATTTGACAGATCTCGTGGCTTACTCTCTTGGATATGGAGACTAGTTTGAAATAATGTAAGGAATTAGTCAAACACTTAAATTAAAAAAGCCTTAGGTTTTCTAAATCTTAACCACATGTTTACTAATAACCAGAATTTGATCATTTCAAGCTGTATAAACTAAACTATAGATAAATACAATTGCTTATAAATAAGGCTCTACCACTGGATACGATTAGATTCTTTGTGTATTTTAAAGTCGTTTTAAAATATAATAATAGTACCTAAGTTCTGCTTAGCTTCACTTATTAGTTGTGCATGAGCATCTTAAAGATTGGAAAGCTTTCTTCACTGATAAAGAGCCGATTCGATGTTCCCAGCGCGTCATGATTCGTCAGCTGTCCTTCAGAAGAAATATCTTACATAAGTATTAGGTTATCTTCAATAACTAAAATATCATATTCTCATATAATTCTGTAAAGTCATAATCATGATTCCAAACAATCAAAGTGTATTTACTGAAAGCCAAAACAGGTTAATAGTCCAAACGACAGTTGAATAACTCATCTTTAGCTTACGAAAAGTACATTTATCTGCAATCAGTAAATCAAAAATTAAAAGTTATACACTTGACAGCACTCTAATTTTAATAATACTCAAAGTAATGTTAGGTTTCTTTGGTGACTCATATTTCAAGAATATGACTACGAATCAATCAAAAATCTGTTAGTTTAGCAACAAATTAGAAACACTTGCATATGTGAAACTAATATTCTTATAAATTAAAAAACACCATCAGTAGTGTAACGGTGGATAATTGAACATTCAAATAATCCGATAAAGTAGACTTTAAGTGTTCAGATTAAGGGATCTGAGTAGCGGACCACGATAAATAAAATAAGAAATAGTTATTTAGAAAAGAAATAAATCACATATAAATAAGATTTCTTGCAGTCATAACAGAACGATGTATATTCCATATGGTAGGAAAAAATCATACTGGAAATGTAATCTATAATTCATCCATGAAAGTTGGATCTACTCGTCGTTCAAATCAGAGACTATAACTGGCAAGTCTGTTTTGAAATGAGTGCAGCCTGCGAGCTTCGCCTGGATATTGCCATCAACTCATTAACATTTTCAAGCAAAGTCGAACAGTGGCTACCAGTGGAATCTAAGACGAGCGTTTCGTCCTGTTTGAGACTCGTCAATCGGGTGTGTGTGCACAAGGTAGTGACTTTCCGGACTCATTAGCTAAGCGGATAATGCGTTTAATGCTTGGAGCGAATTCCACTGGGTTCGAGTCCTGGTTTTAACATCAACACCGTGATTCATGCACATCTAACTGACAAATTCCGAACAGGACGAAATGCGCATCCCGGATCCCACTGCTAGTCTCTACATAGCTTTGCTTGGAAATGTAATCGTCTAGATGTGTAAAACTACTTGCATTATCTCATGAGTACATCTAAAAGCAGTAGAAAATGTCATGAAATTTGTTATGTACAATAATAAAAGAAAAGTCTGTCCACTTCATCTCAACCATTGAGGCTTATAAATCTACATTCAAACAGAAACACAAATAGTTGTGATAGGTCCCTGAGTTCGAAATCAACTCTATATTTAAGCATGTTTTCATATTTAGTTTTCTTTATTCAACTAGAGTACATCACGTATGAGAAGCATTCAAAACAGGATAACTTTTTATTGATGTAGTATGACGAGCAATAGTAGCATACATTGACCAGGTCGAATAATAAGTACTTTGAAATAACATTTCTCAATACTTTGTAGTGCTATCATCACTTGTGACCAAATTAGACGTTATATGAAGCATAAACGAATCACAGAATCCATACTTTGTATTTCAGGCTCTCATTGAACAAAATGTACAGTGGAACGAGGATATAGGTGAATGGCAATTAAAATGCGTAGCGTACACAGGAAATAATATGCGAAAACCTGAAAAGCAAACACCCGAACCTGTAAGTTCCAGACTTTTATTTTCCTTTAGCAACCATATCGAACAAGTTAAAATAACACTGACTGATTGTAAACTATCAATTCAGAATAGTAACGAACTGTCACTTACATGCATCTCTCTAATATGAAGGAACATAATTGGTAAATTAATTTACTTCAACTACTTGAAACATACAGTGATGATTAAATCACGTCTATAAGTAAAAATGGAACATACTTATTCTAAAAAAAGTGGAATAATTTCCGTCAAGTAATAAACCTACACCTGTTTATTGAACTCTCTTCATAAACAAGCAGGACAACTGTATGATTTAATAAAATAGACCTGAAATTGACAACCATCGTACAAGGGACTTCTGACAAGCCAGAATTGTGAATAATGAAACTAAAGATCTAGGGTATATAACATAACTATGTCGTAACACCCCTAATTCTTCCAAACACCCAGGACAAACATTGAGTAACTATTCGGGTTGGCTCTTTCATTATTTAGTCAAACCAATCTGCACAATTCTAAACTGGGAATTACAATGTCCTTACTAGTGACTAGCTTTGAGAAATTCCCGGAGTTCTAGTGAAAGCCTTGACAAGAGGAGCTAAGCCATGTCAGGTGTGTGGAAGGTACCCACTGAAGGCAATAGAAGATGGTCGCGCAATATTGTGGATTGATCAAAGCCAGACTTGCAAAACATTGAATCGAGACTGAGTTGTCTAGAGGTTAAGCCTCCACACATAAGACCGAAGGTCCTGATTTTAATCATGTGTGGTGTGGTTGTGAAGTAACAATAATGAGTCTCACTCTACCACAAAACGGCCGTCCAGTAATTTCACGTTAGTGGCTGTGTGACTTAGATCGGTTCGTGATTTTAATGAAACTAAACAACCCCCATGCTGACATTCTAAGAGCCACAAAACAATTCATCCACTAATTACAATATCATTTAAATATACCCAAAGCTCATTTCAATATATCACAATAATTGTTCATTTTACGAATTCAAAATAACGTCCTTGTTAATCACAAGTCCTTCCACCCAGAATTACCATCTGGTCAAAGTGAAAATAACAAAAACTTGACTTTCAGACCAGTCACAAGATATTTACTGTAAGTTAGCGCTCTATTCTGCTGTTCAACATGATGTTAAAACACACTTCACTATACCAAAAAAAGGAACATTTTACTTGAATGCACTATCTGAATGCTAACGCTCCGTCAATCACTAACCAACAGAAGTCTACGCATTCGAAATGATCATTTCGACTGCGAGCTCCCAATTTCGGGGAAAATTTGACCCATTTTGGGGAAGCCGCTATTAACTGGGGAAATGGCACTAAAACCCCTAAGTTTTCCCTGACTTAGAGAGATTCCCCAGTACTTCCCCTTAACCCTAGCAAAACTCATTTGACTTTATGGGTTTCCCCAAACTTGGGAGATTGGAGACCGTTACAACTGGTCACGTCTCACTACATTTTTAAGTGATGCAATTGTTATAATTAATCCTCGGGACTTTCCTTCACATTTGATGCCATAAAACATTCCATTTTTTCTCAGTTCAAACAAACTTACAGTTTTGAAACAACCATGAGTTTTCAACCTGCAGGTTGAACGACTGTCTTGCTTGTATTTTATATATTGAATATACCCCACACCAAAATGCTAACGAACGACAAAGATGGGAAACCTTGAGACCGCGAATATGCCAGTAGATTCGTAAAGTCAGATTCCGAACCAGAAACTGTGTTTGTAGTCCTGTACCTAGCACAAATCTACCAGATTTTCCACACATTGATATCTGGATACAATATCACCTTCCTAAGTTTACCATAACACTATGACACAAAAGCTATGCAGCCTGAAGCTAACTGGCTTCTCTGTGATCACAAATACGTCACGAAACGAAGTACGGAACAGAACACGATACTTGCACTTTTGATTTTCTTAGTAGTTCACTTGACACAAACAAATCATGATCGTCGGAATAAGCTTTGATACAGAGACGACGGGGGTATGACCTCTCGATAATGTGGTCATTGAGGACAAGTCACCACACTGATATGAGTCTGAATAAACGCATTTTAGGTCTACAACCGCTAATTGCAAGTACTCTTCAGAACCCAGTCAGGTGTACATTGTTGAAATCCTCAATCCCGTATCTTAGTTTGGTCTCAGTAATTTGTTTCGGACCAACTGAAATATACAGCTTTGTTTGTTCGCAGACAATATGCGGAGACGTGTCGGATAGTACGTAATAGTCATTGGCTGTCAGGAAATAGCCAATCGTTCGAGCAGAACTAAGTAGGGAGCTACTCAAATAAATCGTAGGCATGAGAGAAATACATACTAACACAAAACAGCTAAATATTGCACTGACAGGGCGTGGACCCAAAACCGTGCAACTTGTAACCCCTTCCACACCTTTGGAAACACAAACAAGCTGTGTACTGTCAACAAGCGCTCTAACAAGGATCACATCAGACCCGTGTCACAGCCAATATAGGTACGTCAGCACCCCAAACCCTCAAGTACTACGGCGACTCCCAACTGACTGCTAGGCGCAAATCAAACTGATTATCTAGGCAGAAGTCGGAATTCACTTTCTGGAATTTTCGTCGTCCCTTCATTTTATATAACTTCTAGTATTCCTAGTAAACTGAAACATAACACTGTTTCCTGATTTTTTGTTTACAGCCGATCGATCTCGCACACGTGTACTTGAGATATACGGACATATCGAATTCAGGACCGAGCCAGAAAACTAAACCAACTGGGAAATAAAAGCTCTTCCCCAACAGCCGGTTTTCATTATTCAGCATACACACACTACTTCATACGAATGTCACCCCAGCCCGTGAGGTGTATGTGGAAGTAACCCGTAACTTTCATACCATGTAAACTAGAGGGGACGAAGACCCGACAAACCAAAAGTACCCTAATGCGGTGATACATGCAATATCGCAGGATTTGATGCATTGGCTAGATAGTGCTAAGACAAGCGAAAAACTGCTACGTCTCAAACTAATTCATACATGACTAACTGTGAGCTGAAAAGCATCAAGTGACTACTTTGAAGATGGCCACTGCGACACAATTCGACGTGCTCTAGGACTGATTGATAAACAACCAAGCAGGCACGCAGATTCGGAAAATTATATTCTACTTATTACAGGACGTCTAACCGGCAAAAACTAGTCAATGTTACAAACGCAGTGCATGAGCTAGTCCCACAGCGGAGTCAAACTCATAAACAGACCAGCCCACTGTTTAGATAAAGGCGAACGAACTTCATATGGTAGCCAACGCGCAACCACTTAACGGGTGGTCGTCGTGAAAAAAAGCATTTATTTTAAGCACATTTATTGTAAGACATAACAGGACGAGTCAGAAGTATTTCCTTTTCGCGTCTTCTATTGATAGCCATCTGAAATTTAAAAAGTATTGACTAGTTAATCAAGTAAGAGTACTCTATGATCAGACGAATTACTGTCATCATTTGTTCAGACGGTAATTCCATAAAACATCACTAAACAAAACTCACCTAAAGTAGATTTCGCGATATTATCTGACACCATGCACGACAAATGACCAAGTGCTAAGCGCATAAAAAGTAATCATCGATGAGTCCGGATGTTAGGTAAAATTCATTTCTGACAGCACAACCTGTAACATAAAGAATTCTAATCAGTTGAGTACAGAGCAACCAATTAAATTCAGTCAAATGTTTGTCACCATTTAGTCAGACGGTAACTCCATTACCATCACAAAACAGACTTACCGTACACTAGTCAACTATCGTCAACAGTTCTTTTCGACATGACAGAATCCAATTGTAATGGTCATTACGTTGAAGGATCAGCTACACGAGTTTCCTCAGTGCTAGATACGTAGATAAAATTTGTCAGTAATCAGCTCTCATAATCGATATCATATCAGAAAAACCAATAACTAACTGTGAACGCTGGACAAACATGAGTTTGGCTGCTTGTGAACAGTAACTCATTGCGTCACTGAAGGCCAAATGTTACGTTGATAACCCATTCGAAGACCACTAGGATTAGTACAAGTGAGGAAGTCTAACCCCAATAACCTTCGACAGCTTATCAACACAACATTTGTACTTACTCACGGTTAGCTAGTAGCCCTCGTTCGTTTCATCGGTGGTTTGTCATCACACTTACCATAGCGTGGCAGAAATGACCAACACGGCGACACACTCAAACACTAATTGTGCAGTCAAACAAAGAATCTTCATTTTCCAATCTTTATTGAACGACTCCTTACATTTATTCTATACTAATCAAGCAGTTGTCTTCATAGTAAATCGAAGACCTAATCTAACAAACCCCTATCCCGTGTTGCGTTTATGGGCTTTTAGGATTGCCCATCCATCACTTTCGTAAACTTCTTTCCGGTTTTGGAAGGACAAAAGACTGAGTGATGGCCTTAGTCTTGCCGTTGCAGGTTTATTAGTTGATCAGACTTTCTTTTCAGTGCCTCAATAGAAGCAGCTCCAATTAACTGCTGAAGCAAGTAGCTCCAATTGTTGACGATTTGTTGGTAAAGCAGATAATCAGATGACCAGCAATTTGTTCTGCGCCTTTGAAATCTCTGAAAGAGATTTTTCAAATTCTCTTGTTCGGAAGACAGAAAAATTTGAAAAAATCAAACGCAAAATTGTTCTCAGTAATTTAAATACTGTGATCAATGCAACTCTAATCCTTGTATCACAAGCTGAATAGTTTTTATTTAACAGATCTCTTGTTATAAGGTAGCTCCATTATTCGGATAGCCAACTTAGATGCTGTTTTCCGAACTCTTTACATCGACTAAGTCTTCTTCAGGAATGCTCAAGCCGTCTTTACACCCCACTTTAGTACGTATTAACACCACATACAATGTTAACGTCTACAATGCCCCGTGGCTATAAAACGTTTCCAATTCTCGACTGACGACCCCTTGATAAGTCTGTGTCTGGAAAACGAGCGGCTGAACACTATTCATTGTGCATATATCTGTACCTTAAGAACAATTATCCACCACAATGCACTTAGAATTTAAGTTCTAAACTATTTACATATTTCCATAGGTCATTCTGAAGCTCTAGACTTTCACCTTCATTTATTATCGCTCTCTATACCTTAACATCATAAACAGATAAGAAAACTGATGGTGATGGGAAAGTTATTCACACCTGATAGTAATAACGATTGTCGCCGAATTGTATCCTATAACACTGCACTAAACACAGCCTCTCACAAGACAATATTAGACTAACATTTGCTCCCTGTTGCTTTCAACTAGGAAATTGTTCATCTGCAAGATTATGGTCTAGTTTGATATTAGTACTACTCTAATGATAGAAGTAATTCCGAAATTGTAAATTTGTCATGATTTGACTATCTAATCCATGGGATCTTACGTGAAAGTCACATCACTGTCTACACTGAATAGTCGTATCATGACAATCAGCACCATGATATTTAGCATTTATGAAAAACATATTTTGGCTGGTGAGATAATAATATATTTAGTGTGGAAATATATGTGTTACATAAAAATGACTATGCATGCAAATTTAAGCCACGCCAGGCCCATTATTTGGTGAATGAATGTTTTGGAGCAGGAAGGTAGACCAGTTATCTGTGTTTCATACAAGCTTACCGTTACTGAACAAGGTTATTCACTAACTCACCGAGAAGCATTAGCTGTGTTTTGGGTTGTTAAAAGACTTCATAAATATTTATTTGGGGAGAAATTAGTTTACGGATAATCAGGTCTACTTTTACGATTAAGTAAAAAAAATGTTAATAACAGAATTGAGGTTAAATTTGTGTTCAAAAAGGGCTCACCAATTTCGTGCCTTAAAGTAACCCTCGTGCTATTGATAGAAGAAACCAGACAAGTAGTAAATAGGTCTTTATTTCGATCTTAGCGCGGTGACAGTGGAGCGTGGGATTATCTGTTCAGACAAACAAAGGCTCTCAACATTCAATATAAGATAATAGGGAATATAACGCTTATACAAAACAAGGAAGTGGATGAATACTTGAACAATACTGTTTTGGCATATGCTTGGTTGTTTGGGGTCAACTCTTAACCAACCAACCTAAGCTGTTACAAATTCACTATTGTTACTTTTGAAGACGATAGATCCCCAAACTCATATTTTTAAATTTTATCTTATCGATTAAATGTTAGATATTTTTATTAGGGTCAATTGATGAATTATCGATTAAATGCGCAAATAGGTCAATCAATGAACTCGTTAATTAATGTTTAGAAATTTTCTATGACAATATCGATTGTAAATAATTGTGTAAATACGCTTGATTGTGTGCTTGACTTGACTGGTTATCTGCTGTTTGTCTGTAGAATACACTTTCTACACCTTATCCAGACTTCTTGATCGATGCTTGAAGCTAACTATGAACGAAAATGATGATTTTCTTACGCACGTGGGCGTCGTCAACCATGAATTCGAACTCCTCCGGTTCAAGTCCTTGACTGAAGATCAGTTTAAAGCCCTGATCCTTATTTGAAGCCTACAGCACCAAAAGTTCAGTGACTTACAAACAAGGCTATTAAGTCGTTTAGATCAAGAGCCGAATCTCACCCTGAACGATATAGCTAATGAATATCAACGTCTCATCAATCTGCAACGAGATACTTCTATGGTCCAGAGTGGTGCGTCTAGCCGATATGAAGTACGAGCGGTTCAACAGACACCTTACAAAAACAAATACGTCCCCGCTTCATCCAGTCCATCTCACTCCAGCTCGAGACAACAGACTAAAGCAACTCCTCCTGCTCCTTGCTGGCAATGTGGTGCATGGCACTACGTTCGAAACTGCCCATTTAATCAACATTGATGCAAGAAGTGTAAGGTTATTGGTCATAAGGATGGGTTTCGTCTGAGGAAGAAGATTCCAAGTCAATCCAGAAATACTAAAAAGACCCTCCCTAGATCCCGCACCAATTCATTGAGCTTAATATCTTCGTGTCGAAGCGCATCATCAGGTGAGAGAAAGTTTATTACTGTTAATATTAATGGGCATTCATCTAAATTGCAAATAGATACAGCATCAGATGTCACTATCCTCTCTCGTAAGATTCGGATCAAAGTGGGCAGCCCAAACTTGCAGCGCACAACGCAAAAGCCTCGTACTGCGTGTGGTAAGTACCTTCACCTGCTAGGACAAATGGAATGTACAGTTACTCTCCGTGATTTGGCATTTGTTGGGGTATGCTACAAAACGCCAGCTGATTTAAATTTGCTCGGGTTAGATTGGTTCGATCACTTAAATTTAGCTGATGTCCCGTTGAATACCATATGCAACCTGGTATCACAACCCCAACTACGACAACAACCACATGACTTGGAAGCTTATACGAGGAACCAAATGACGCAGTTTTCAACTATTTTCCAACCTGGATTGGGTCGCTGCTCTACCATGAAAGCAACACTTCGATTGAAAACTGGAGCTAAGCCTGTTCTTCGCCCAAAGAGACCTGTCCCTTATGCAACATTACAAACAGTAGATGAAGAATTGAACCGCCTTCAACAACAAGGAGTTATTACTCCCGTTTCCCACTCTGCGTGGGCAGCACCTATCGTGGTTATTAAGAAGGCCAACGGCACGATATATGTGCTGAATTTTCAACAGGTCTCAATGCAGCTCTGGAACAACATCACTATCCCATGCCTGTTCCCGCAGACCTATTTACAATGCTGAATGGGGGAAGATTTTTCGCTAAGCTGGATCTAGCTGATGCTTATTTGCAAGTGGAAGTAGATGAAGCATCAAGAGAGCTGTTAACTATCAATACTCATCGTCCACCTTTCGGGGTCAAAACTGCACCATCTATTTTCCAACAACTAATGGATACCATCCTATCAGGTATCTCGGGATTCGCGGCTTATTTGGATGACATTTTAATTGTAGCAACGACATTAGAACAGCTACGAGAACGCACGACATTGGTACTGCAACGCATCAGTGACAACGGGTTCCGGTTACGCTCAGAGAAATGCCAGTTTTATTTGCAGTCGGTAAAGTACTTGGGGTTCATTTTCGATGCCGACGGCCGCAGGCCGGATCCTGAGAATATCCGAGCTATCAAATTGATGCCCACTACCACTAATGTCTCGGCACTACGTTCCTTCCTGGGACTTGTCAGCTATTACTCGGCGTTCGTTCCATCGATGCATGATATTCGCGCTCCACTCAATAGCTTACTGCAGAAGAACAGCTCTTGGAACTGGACTAAACAGTGTGACGCTGCCTTTTGTAAACTGAAGTCCATTAATAGTTCGGAATTGCTGTTGACACACTACGATCCAGCAATGCCGATCATCGTAGTTGCAGACGCTTCAGTGTATGGCCTAGGCGCTGTTATCTCCCATCAGTTTCCGGATGCGTCGGAAAAAGCCGTTATGCATGCAGCCCGCACACCAACCCCAGCAGAAAAAAAATACAGCCATATAGAAAAAGAAGCTCTTGCGCCTGTG